ATGTGCCAAACTTGTTGCTGTCAATGGAAAAACTTGGTTTAAAGCTAAAGCGTCCTCTTAGTTAATGGGATGTTGTTTTGTTTTAGTAGTGGGTTCTTATTCGCCGTTTTTCCACCACAAGCAAAACCCAATGCCCTCATACCCAGAAACATGATCAAAGTTTCGAGGAACCAAATTACCAGCAGTTGGATTATTAATCCAATGGTCACAAAATGCAAAGCACGTAAGGGACTGATTGACAGACTAAGTTGAAATTTCTTTCTTGTGATTATTCACATATGCTGAGATTCCTCTAGTTGAGATTTCTTTCATCTGATTCTTTACAAATGTTGAGATTCCAATCCAAGTGAGTGCAACTTGTTGTATATGCATGAAATCCACTGTTCTAGGTCAATTTTTCTAGCAAATCAAACCAATCTAATAAAATCCAACTTTGCAAGCCTTAACCCAAGCTTGGTGGTTTCAGCTTGTAGAGAAAATAGAGATTGGGAGAGAATAGGGAGAGAACGACCGGACTTGCCCCTAGCTATAGCTAACAGACAGGAGAAAGGGAAGACGGTGAACTGAGAGAGAAGAATTCTCAGAAATGTCTTACATATGTTTCTCATTGCATTAAAAACATCTTTTTATCATGCAAAAAGGATTGATAAAATTTCAGAGCACTTGCTAAATTCAAGGAGACTACTTGCTAAGAGCACGGAGAGCTCTCCATAAAATTTTAAAAGCTAAGCAAACTCCTTCCAATATTCAATTAACTAATTCTAAAGTCAAAGATAACTAATTAAAAATACTAAAATCTAGAAACAGATGAAAAAAAAAACATCAAATTCAAGTGTGTCTGATCAATTGAACATATACACAAGGCCATACTCATTCCTCAAAGTGCCAGACCTGGCCTTCCTACGGTCAATAGTCTCCAACTTCCTTATTACTTTAAATTGGTGGCCAATCATTCTTTGTAGACAAAAGCCCAACTTGCTTATTACAAAACCATACTCATTCGTCAGAGGGCCAATCCTAGCTTTCCTAGAGTCAATTGTGCCCAACATGCTTATTACATTAGTTTGCTGGTCTATTATTGCTTGTGGCCAACAAGCTGAGGCATGATTGATCAACTGAACATACACACAAGCACATGTTAATTCCTCAAAGGGCCAACCATAGCTTTCCTAGGGGCAGTTGTCCCCAACTTGCTTATTACATTAGTTTGGTGGTCTATTATTGATTGTAGCCAACGACCTGAGGGTCAACTAGAAGAAGCAATTTAATATGACGAAATTGAATTGGTTTATCCAAAAGAGCAATATTAATCTGATCGTCAGTGCTATTTTCCTCTAATAATGAGCATCAAAGCCTTTCCCCTTAATTGAATGAGTGCCTTCACCAAAAGATAACCCTTGATAACCATAGGAATCAGTGAAGATAGTTAATTAAAAACCATGTACCGTCATCCACCAAAATATGAATCGAAAATCATGGAACATTCTATTTGTGTTCATTAGATTATTTTAATATTTTTTTCTTTAATTGTCTCGCATATGAATAGTTTAGACTTATCTTAATAAAGTAATTTATACTGTTATTCCAGATATCCGTTTCATAAAAATGAAGTTATGGCTTATTCTGGATTATTAAGGATTTATACAGCTCATTTTGTTCCAAACAAGCCTCTAAGGAATCCCTTAATCTCTTTTGCTGCTCTTACTAATTGCCTCAATCTAGGGGTGTAACTGAGCCAATTCAACTCATGAGTCAGCTCGAGCTCGGCTCGATAAGTGGATCATGAATTAGCTTGATGAGCTAACAAGCCAAGCACAAGTCAACCCATAATTTACTCATTTAAAAAATAATTAATATAAATCTACTAAAAATCTATTAAGATTTAATACTTTATATTTAAATTGTTAGAAGTATTTTAAAATATTATAATTATATTTAATATCAAATGATTTCTAATTATTTATCTTCTAATTGCTCATTCTATTTGTTATTTTATTATAAAACTAGTTTGAATTAATAGTGTTTGCTCAAGTTAGCATGTGTGCCGGTACAAACTCATAGAATAAAACTCGTTTACACCTCTATCTCTAACTCTTGGCATCTCTCTCTCTCTCTCCCCCCTCCCCCCTTCCCCTCCCCCTCCGTCAAAGCATCTGTACTCTTAGATTTCATTTTGTTTCTCACTCCCTCTATTAATTTTTTTTCCTCCATTTCTAATTTTCACTCCTATTTTCTTCTCAATTGGGCTACTTTTTCCTCTTAAATCCCATACTCTCAAAGATTTTCTTTCCTCCTTCCTATAAGCAAATACAAACACATGCATAATAAAAAAAGATTTAATTTCCATCCATTAGAAAATCAAGTATTACATTGAAATACAAATCAAAGTCAGCTATGTTAACTAGAACCTGAAAAATCTTTTTCATCTAATTTAATCACCATATATGAGTTTTTAACCATTAATCGAACTTGGTGAAAATGGACAACATATGATGCCTCACAATTTTTTTTTTTCAAATTAAAACTATTAAAATTATGGGGATAGAGAGAAAAATTGAATTTTGATAGAATAAAAAGAGATAACTAGGATAACATAAAATACAATCCAAACTCAAAAGCATAGATGTTTCTTAAACCATGGGGATAGAGAGAAAATATATATTTTTTATATCCCAAATAGGTTCAAACTAGAGATAACTTTATTTATGATGCAAAGTTCAATGCCAATGGGAAATGCCCTAAAGCATAAACCCAACAAAAATTGCTTATTAACGTCAATAAGTGGAAAAGTGGAGATCCCTAGTAGAAAGCCATTCTATATAGACATGGTAACATAAAAATAACAAGTGATTAAAGTACACATACTGAAAGAGCCAGTTGCTTTGAAGAGAAGATAAGTTATTAAATTGGTAATTAGAGTTATTGATTTTTTGCAGGCCTTGAGCATCTTTAATTTTTTATTTTTGAATGAATAATAGAGTCAAGAGAGATAGTCAAGGTTGGAGAGCAAATGAAAATAAGGGGAAGCAACGAGAGATTGTGATGGCTCGAGATAGTATGAGAGAGAAAATTAAAGTTGAATTGCATAGTATGGCAATATATCCAACCTAAGTTAGATAGGCATATGACATAGATCTATGTAAAATTATCATTTATCATAGTTGGGCTCAATCGTTTTATCAAAACGGCCATCATCAATTTACCTCTTAATTAGTAGTGCATAATTGAATCAATATTACGGTATTCGCTTCAATAGAAACCTCACCATTGACAAGAAGTAGATGCGAGAACATAGTTCAATCTCATAAAAAGACTTAAGACCATTGGAGGCTATAGTCCATTTGCATAGAAAACGGTTGCAATGATGAAGAGGGGAGTTTTAAGGATGAGGAAGCTAAGAAAATTATTGGTAAAATTTTGGAAATTCTTGTATTTTAAGTGCCATTTCTTTTACATCATATAAGAGAACATCAAAATTATAATCCTCTAAACTATATAATAGAAGAAAAATAGCTTCTTTCGTTATTTTAGTTATAAAGTTTGTCATGTTGGATTTTGCATTGGAAAAAATAATCAAAATTTCAAATACCTCAATATTCATAAGCATCATCTTCCTTCACATCCTTTTGCCTACAAAGTCTTTGGCATGAACATCATAATTACAAATTTATGTGCCCTCTGCCCCCATTTATTGAGTTGAACACTCAATTAAAAAGCTAATAAAAGTCTCTAAGTAGTGCCCTTCACCATTTTATACCACCACTTTTAATTCTTTTGCCTCCATCAACCGATTGTCAAAAGTCACTATCAATGTGTCACTATAGTGCAAACATTAATTAACCAAACAAAACGTCTAATTTCCTATGTTAAATTTATCAATTGAGCTATCTAATTATGAATCTTTTTATCATGGATTTCAGGTCAACCCAACCTCTGAATCAAAATGCAAGGAAAGAGATAAAAATAAAATAAAGCATACTGACTTCAATTACACTATAAATATAAAGTTGGTTAGGATTTGATCATTTTCGATTTAGGAACCTAACATGTTCACATAATTAAGTTACAGATGCACATAGATGCACGCCTGCATAATAGATATTGATATCAAAATACAAATATACATGTAAGTGCACCCATAGGACAAAAAAATAACTTGATAAAGATATGCATGAAGTGAGGTACAAATAAAAGATTATCAGAAATCATAAGAGTAATAAAAGTTTAGGCCTAGCAATCTTGATGCTTCTGTCAAGACAAAGGTTTTATTATCATCAGTTTGCTTGCTTGTTCACATTTCCTAGCAAAATAAATAAATATTTTGAGATTTTAATTTGGTATATCGAATATCTTAACTTACATCATCATCATTCTTGGCTTCATACATAACAAGAATTCCAATTAAGAAACCATGATTTTCCTTCTTGAATATTAACAAGGTGAGTAAAATGGGTATTGGCAATCATATTTAATATAATCTTCAACATAGAAGAATTTTTAAACAGTATAGCATGAAAAAGAATTATGAGAGCATGACTATATAAAAATTTCCTTTATAAAAATGTGGGATAAAACCACTGATCTGGGACTAGCAATATCGAGCATAGACTGAGATGGTGCAAATGAGAAAATATAAAACAAAACACAGTTATCACAGTTGCTGTAAGGTATGGAAATCGTTATTGTATATAAATTACTAATAAGGAAAAAAATAACAGAGAAATAGATGCAGCTGTAGACAAAATGCGATAAAATCAGAGCAGTAATTAAGGAAATCCTGCATGCTTCCTAGTGCTTGAATTTAAGAAGCTGCCTTAAGGGCTCGCAGAAAAGAAGCCATTCATTATCTAAAAGAGATTTCCTGTACAAAATGGTTTACTGGTAACGTCCGTGTATCAAAAAATACTATCTAAGAAGTATGTAACTCCATGTTTCAAAATACAAAAAATAGTATCTAAGAAGTATGTAACTCCATGTTTCAAAATACAAAAAAGTAATACCTGTGGCAAAGATGGTGTAAAGTTCAACAACATTTGCTTTGCCCTGGAATCATCCTGGACATTACCAAATAACACTGAAACTTAACAGAACTCTAACAATCTCGTTGTCAAAAAGAATGAGACATACACATGAGTTCAAATCTTCGAGAAGAAATTAAGAATTGCACCTTCAATGAATACTGCCCTGTGACTCCATCCCCGTGGCCATAAATTTCAAGAAAATCCTAGTTTTCAAGCAAATATCACGATTAAGACGCATCGTAGCAAAGTAAGCATAACATTTAACACATCAATTTTTCTTACAGATGCTGCATTATCATCACCCAAGTATCCTGCAACAAATCAAAATTAAAGGTCAAAAACTCACGCAATGTCAGTAACCATAACTACATCAAACAATTGTACACAACGTAAGATCCAAACAAGGCAATGCGTGCAACCACACGCCGTAAACCATAAAACACGCAATGCATGCGGATACCAAAATCCAGCACCCCCTATTCATCCAATAGCATGAACCAACAAAACTAGGCCCTCACAGATCCGGGGTCGGCCAATACAATGCGGGAGTCAGCAGAGATCTGCCGACACAAGATCTAAGCGGCGACCCCAATGCCTGCGCCGCCGTAAGACCTCCGAGTCGGATCTAGGAAAATCCTAGGGCCGACCGAGAAGAACATGAAAGATTAAGAGATATTCCGACAACGCACCGACAGGGAGGCCGTTGTGAAGCCCGAGAAGGAAAGCAAGGGGGACGAGCATCGAGAAGAAAACAAGCAGGAGCACGGTCAGTGCGAGCCATTTCCATCTCCACTGCTTCGCCGGAGACAACGACGTCGTCGTTACCGCTGCATGGCCTTTCATCTCCTCCGGCCTTCTCCGATTAGGATCTGCACTACAATCTGGACAGATCAGACAAAAACGGTCGGTCTCCCATCTCCATCACCGCTTCGTCATCCGAGTTCATCCACTCGGTCTTCGACGGAAGCTTTTCTTACAGCTTTTTTTCGGATTCGATGAAGGGGGCGTAACAGCGAAGAGAAGAAGATGGTTTATTTTAGATAGAGCCATGGCGGAGGGGTGATTATTTTCTAGGTTAAAAAAAATTGAACGGTTACATACGAGCCAGGTTTCTACTGGTTATAAGTACTGCCAATCATGGATTCATGGATTCCATATGTTAAAATTATGTGCGTGCTAATCATTTTTCTCACCAATCATGGATTACATCTTTTTTTATTGAGGCAATTACGTACATAGCAATCAAAAAATTAGATAAAACGCCAAATCAAAATTTTTTTATTATCATCAAATTTTTAGTGCTTGTGTGAAGGAGTTTCTCTTTAAAAGTCACTTCCGTGAAACGAATATTGATATTTGTGATCTAAAATGATGAAAATCTATTCATCGATCGAAATAATTTTGTGAGATGTTGTTTTACCAAACGAAAGCAAATCTATGTGTCGATGTTCACTGCAATGGAAGGGAACTTCACTGCTTTCTCAAATAAGACCTTTGTGATTTGATGGTGGCATATGTAAATGTATTAGTTCAATGGTTCAAAAATTGTCTTATTGTTAACTTCATAGATAATAATGTTTCAAATGCTATATATGTAACTATCCCTTCTTTATATTATTTATTTATAATGTTATTACTATTATTATATGTAGGTCACTCAAAAATACAAGAGGTCAACCATAAATTGAGATCGTTGTCATAGTTAAATTCATGAATATTTGAACCTTAATTTAAACAAAATTATTGTTAAATAGAACAAAGTTGAAAGTATTTCAATCGACGTTCAAATGAGTGTTTGATGCGTGCTAGAAAATTCACGGCGGCAAAGTGATGGATTATTGTCATAGTGTTGCACGAGAATTTAACACACACTCGGATGTAAGAAAAAAATTAGTAATAACATCAGAAGTTCTTATGTGGAAAAACTTATAAAGGGAAAAAACTACGGGGTCTGGCGCAGTTGTAATAATCTACTAAAGATTGATGATTACAGAAACTCCTTGTCTCAAAAACTAAAGGAGTTACAAAATTTTTCAAGTTAAAACATTGACTGACGGCATTTTGTTGGTGATGGTCGATGGTGATTGGTGGTGATCAACAATGGTTAGTGGTTGTTGACGGCGATGGAGTGTGTCTATGACGGTAAGTGGTGGTTGACGACGATCGACGGCGATCAACAGTGATTGGTGATGGTCGACGATGATAGGGATGGTGCTGGACTTCAACTCCTTCTCAAAGCCTCAAGTTCTCTCTCAAGGCTCAAGCTTCCTCCTTATGTGAGAAGTGGAGCTCTATTTATAGTGTTTCGGGTGCAATTAATGCAGAAATATGAACAATTTTTATCGGGCGGCCCGGAGAGCTTCCTTCAATCAGACAACATATGATGTACATTTGAGTGCCTTAAGGATGTTGGAATTGAGCAATCTTGAGCTTGTTGGATTTTTCTTGTTGAGACGCTCGATTAGATTATGAGCTCGCCATATTTGATATCTATTTGATCTTACATATGTGTCCAAAAATCTTTCAAGAGTGGTTTAATGACTTGATATGGAGCTTGATTTGATCAAATTAGACTAGTTTTTATGTCATTAGGTCTGTCTCATCGAGCCGGTCAATTTGACCATAGGTTTGTTAAAATCGAAGTTTTGGATAACTCTTAATTGAAGTCTGAATATTTCTTATTCAAAAAATTACCTCGAGATTTGTGTCAATGCCTTGAGATTCATGTCGGATGATGGAGATTTTCTGGAGGTATATCAGTCACCCCCTATTTTCGGGGGCAAAACAAAATTCGTCGTCCGAAAATATTCAGATCTTGAACATTTTCATTTTTGTTGTGGATATGTATCAATATATATAGGGAAATTTCATTTCATCAAAAATAACTTACAGAGGGTTGCGACCAATAATTCTATTAAACATCATCACACTTAAAACTCACTGTCGGCACTATTTTTGGTGTGGGGTTTGCCCGTAAGAAGCTGTCGGTCATCGGAATTGAAATCCCATTGCCCGCTTCGGAAGGACGTTTTTTTTTTATATAAAAATTTTAGTTTTGAAAAAGATAAAGTCAAACTGACCCCATAATTTTCATAGTTTAAATGAAAGAGCGCTTTACCTCAAACCCTGTATCTATCCCGAAGGATGAACACAAGAATTGAGGGTGAGGCTCGATCAAATAAACTAAAGAAAGTTATGACATCCGTTTGGTCTGCGAAAACCAATATATTGGCCGACAAATTCCCCTATTTAATATAAGGAATGAAATAGGGTTTATATTATGCTGGGTTCGAGAAAAGCTTCCTATAAGGGCAAGCCCCTATAGTTAATTACATCTTAGATAACTGAAGTTATCTAAGAATACTCTCGATAAAAATCAAGAAAAATTA